AATATATTTTTCCTATATTTTTGTTAAACTAAATCAAATCAGTGCATCGCTAATAGGCCTAATTGTGTGTATTCATGTTAAACTATTTATATTTCTTATGTGCAATTTCTTACAATAGGGAAATAAGATTATTTTTAAAAGCTTTTCTTATTTTCGGTCATAAAAAATCGGATATTTTTGAATTAATCGAAAATAGTTATTATTTTTTATGAATTTTTTAAAATAGATTTTAGTAATGTGACAAAGTAAAATCGTTGCAGGAAATATATTTAATTTTAATGTTTAGAATTTCCCGAAATGTTTTAACGTTATGAAACTTTGTTATAAGATTAAGGGAAAAAAGGTATATCTTTATTACGTATTGAGTATTTTCTAAAATAATTTTAGACTTAATAAAATATTGGTATTTTTTTATAAAACGCTTTATTTATATTTATTAGAATGAATTGTATTATATTTTTAGTGAAATAATATGTAAACTAAATAATGTGTGTGATTTTATGAATGCATTTTGTTTATTTCTTTATATTCATTTTTGTTTTAGTTAATATTTAACAAACTGCTCTTAAATAAAAATTCTTAGCATTTTTGTGATGTTATATAGAGCATATAGTAATATACTACTCTTTGCATTAACTTGCTTGCCTTTGTCATAAATGTGGTTAAATTATTTTTAGTACTTATTCATGTTTATATCTAGAACATATTTCGAAATATTTCAGTTCATTCGACTCAACGATGGAGTGAACTATTTTAATTCATCTTGCAAACGAAAAGCGTTTTAAAAATGTCAGCGACATAAACTAAATCATTTTTAAAAAGGAACATCACTTTCTGTTACTTTTCCTTTTACTACAAAATTAATATATTTCTATATAATTCAGTACAGCTTTAAAAATGTGAACAAAGTTTGAAATAATTAAATCATATTAAAAGCAAAAGAAATTATATTAGAAGTAGATGATTGGCAATGACTCATGATTTCATTCAGCGGACATTTATCTTTTAAATTAGAAATGAAATGATTTTTTTTTTTTTATTCCCTTCCCTTTTCCTATCCTGTGACTTGAAGTTAGTCAGTAACAAAGACGTTGCTACGGTATGTTTTCTTACAATTTCTTGTAAGTACCCATATGACGTTAAAAGGATACCCAGAACTTACTTCAGAAACCAAACATGAACTACAACTCCTTTTTTTTCACCAGAATTTGAATCAGGGGCCCTTGGTTTTGAAGCTAAGCGCTTTACTTCTCAGCCACCGCGCCCCCAGGTATGTTAAAGGGCCTTGTGGATAGAAAGACATAATGATAGCGTTACGATAATCAAACCTTTTTAAGACGGCCATGGTCTATCCCATCAATTGTATGTCTTGTTTTCTTGATCTCTTCTTACTTAGAGGAATACTGCGTTGTTTAGGCAAGGTGAATATATTTACGATTATCATAGTGCATAACATGTCTGCAACTGTAAATTCCACATTTAACTCAGTAGTGGGAGCTTACGAGGCTCCCCAAATACCCGGACTGGAAAGATGCTTAAACAAAAAAATTGTGTTCATGGAGACGATGCTAGTAATCCTTTTTTAAGAAACACTGGCTGTTGCAGCTATGTAAAAGCTTTAGTTGTTGTGGTTGTTGTTGACTTAGTAAGTAAGACTAAGTAAAATGACTTATACCTACAAAATAAAATATCACTTATCTTAATTGTCAGGGGCTAAGTAAAATAAAACCACGTGTCTGTATTTCATGTTTAAAATTAGGTGTCATTTTTCTTTTTCTTTTATTTTAATCAGAACTTTAGTGAACAGAAACATGGAGAGGATTTTCTCAACTATATTAATTGTAGTTCTCGTTATTATTTGCATATGTAAGTATCCAATTTTCAAATTATCAACTTTTTGTATATATGTATGTATGTAAGTATGTATGTATGTATGTATGTATGTATGTATGTATGTATGTATGCATGTATGTATGTATGTATGTATGTATGTATGTATGTATGTATGTATGTATGTATGTATGTATGTATGTGTGTGCATGCGTGCGTGCGTGCCTGTGTGATATCAGAGATTAAATTTTCATGCTGTGTAGAAATGTGCATACATAAAATAAAGTGGAAGAAAAGGAAATTACAACAAATAGTGTTTGATAAATGCTTAACGCGTAAGGAAATGTAATTTTACCATTAACACCTTTTAAATGTATTTGTTAAAAAAAATGTAAAATAGATTTATAGATAGATAGATAGATAAGCCTAATTTCTAAAAAAAAGTATTAACCTGTGTGTGTTTGTGAATTACCATTAAAATAATAGAATGTACGAATATTATATGCCATCATGATTAACATATATTAGTGGCCAACATAGAATGTGTTATTATGATTAATTATATTTCTCATTTACTTCTTTTTTTCTAGTAATGTTTACCGGAAATTGCTACGCAACAATAATCAGAGTAGGAGAAAGCTATACTGTTCGCGCCAAATTTAAACACGTTTTAAAAGAAGATTTGGAAGTCGTTTGGTTTGATAACGACGAAACCGTGTCCCAGTGTTCACTTAGGGGAGGTTGTTTAGAAGACTTTCAAGGTGAAACATGGACAACCTTAACATTCGACCCACAAACTGGATTAGCCTCTTGTGATGTTACCATCTTAAAAGTGACCAGACAAAAAGTAGGGACATGGAAGTTAAACTATCTAGGCACAGCTGGTTTGGTACACACGGAGAGCTTATTTTCATGTACACTTAATAGTAAGAATCTCTTTTTTATTTCTTTTTTAGTTAAATCATTCAATTAAATTTTTGTTTAAATTGATAATCTTACATAAAAATTATAGCAAAATATTTGTTTAATACATGCTATTTAAAATTATTTGTAAGACGACAAATGGTAAAGGAATTATTAAAAAAAAAATATTTCATAACATTTTTAGAAGCTTATATTAACTTTCAATATGTGAGTAAAGTCGTGTACCTTTTCTTTCTCCAACTTACAATTCCAATAATAAGTTTAATTTTGCACAATTATTATTATTAATATTATTATTATTATTATTATTATTATTTTATATAGAACTGTACGTTGTAAAGAGATTAAACTCATTAGCTAACAAGGTTACAAAGACTGTTTGTGTGGAAACACAAACTCAAAATCTGCCCCAGAAGTGGTCCACCCAGGCAGGTTTCAATATTTTCAGAAAGAACATCCGAATGAAATTATATCAAAGACAAATGACAGATAAGAATGGAGAAAGAAGGTTGACAGATCTTGTGTACAGTCCTGCAAATTAAAGGATAGATGCAAGTGAATGTAAAGTTAGATGTGAACCTGGCCTAACTAGTTCCCTTTTCAGATCTTGTGGTCTATAGGGCAAATGATGTAAAGTTCATCTGTTTATGTGGCCTACGGTTACCGAGGGTGTCATGTAGCCAGCACAACGACCAACGCCTTTACTTTTCCCCAACAAATGTTAGGTACCCTTTAGAGCTGGGTGGACTCAGAGGTGCCCAAAGATTACGAAGTTGAAAATCCTAGTCTTCACCAAGATTCGAACCCTGGACCCCGGCTCGGAAGCCATGCGCTTTACCACTCAGCTACCCCGCCTCCCTGACCAAAAGTCATTTAACCATAGCTCACTGGGCATGTTATGAGCATAAAATATATGCTAAGTACACACAAAATAATATTTTCCATAGCAGAAATTTACTATCTGTAATCTAGATTTATTAACAAGCAAAATAAAAAAAAAGGATTTAAAAAGTACAAATAAAATATCATCGATTCAATAGATATTAACTCTAAATGTCCACTGCGAATTTATTATATTATATAAAATTTGCAATATCCAATTGTTCTATAGATAACAAAATTAAATAATTACCCTAATCGATTAAGTAATAGTTTAACTTCGTTTTTGTTTTTGTAATGAATAAATGTGTCACCGACAATGAATAGTTGTGCGAAAACTCAACTGAAGTTAATCCGAAAATGGATATTGCGAGAACAAAAAAGTGTAAAAGAGCTCACCCAGACAGACAGAGACATCGACAGACTGTAAACCTTAATGTAGGTTTTAGTAAATATAATTATATGAATGATTCAAAATAACTGATTTAATTTCACTCACCATAAGTTTTTTAAATTTTTTACTTGTTATTTTTTTTTTAGACTCTGTGACACCAGACAGCATCAATTCAACATGCGATGCGATACCTAGTTCAAATTCTAATGTAATAGCTTATGTAACTATCCTCTTCGCAATTGTAATAGTTACAGTTGCCATGACATATTTATGCATTAAATTCTTTAAATTTGGTAAGTAAATAAATCTGGTGAATGTTATTATATTTATGCCATTGTCCTAACAGTTTTACGATAGTAAGTAAATCATAATTTAGAATATAAATATGCTGTACGCACGTTTATGCATAGGGTTAGGGTTTACTGGGCGTTAGGGTTAGGGTTTGGAAAAAAATCGCCCCCCCCCCCACTCCAAAGTTCTGGATCCACTAGTGAATACAATCAATGATAACTAATTCGTAATGTAAAGCTTCTGAATATTGCAATGCTTTATTAAACAATTTAAATACATGGAAAATGTTCGCGTTTCGGAATATCCGCTTTTAAGAAATATAGGGGAATTTTCAGACATTTATTCTAAAAGGAACACAATAGCGGTAATAATTAAAGGTTAAAATTATAGGCGAATTCTTTTTTTTTTTTATTAGAAATAGGGAAGTTTAATAAATCGTTTTTGACATTATTTATCTGTTATTGAAATTAGTTGATTAATTAAATATTTATAAGCCAAAGAAATTGTAAAAGAAATGTTTGATATGTTTCACAGATAAATACGTACACATTGAGAAATGCAAAATGTACTGGATAGTAAATGCAAGAGGAAGTAAATCATGCAAAGAAAGGAAACTATGTCATGTCAAACACATAGCGGTTGAATCTTTACTTATTCAGAAAGTGTAAAACCTATTAAATGTACAATTTACGTCTTTTCTAAGCATCAATATTGTATCTATTCACTGACCACATTATCGCATTTAGAAATATTTAGATGTAAACCAGTGCACTACGATGTTTTCTATGTTTACGTGTGTGTGTGGGGGGGTGTTTTGTGTGTATGAGTTGGCAATGTGTTAGTTTTTACTAATTGTATTAGTTTTACTAATTGTATTAACTGAAAATACCACAGTAGTTAATATAAATACTGTGTCAAGTCTTTCAAGTACTTTACATGAAATTGAGCAAATGTACTCTTTTTTTTTTTACAACACCTATAATCAAGTCATAACTTCCTGGAACCTGCAGCAAAAACATGGATCCAGGAACCTTGGCAGCTGATCTGAAAAAAGAACCTCAATCGATTTTCCTAGAAATTTAACAATTGACGTTAATCGCTAACAGAATAATTACTAGATCGTTGTCCACACAGGAAAAACTGAAAGTTTGACAGTTATATTATATTATTTATATGTTATTAAAGTTTATTAGCGTTGCTTATTTTTTCGTAAATCTAATGTAAATCACATCTAGAAATAGATCTAAACTTAATCTGGGATTTTAAATTTCGGAATTTTTGGGTGCCACTAAGTCCGCCCAGCTCTAATAGGTACCTAACAATAGTTGGGGAAAATTAAAGGGAGTTGGTCGTTGTGCTGGCCTTATTACGCCCTTATTTATAGTTTTTTACAGATAGATCGCAAGGTCTTTACTTTACATTGCAATCTCAGATTGAGTAACAAAAAAAAAGTATTAACTGTAGACTCCGTGAATAAATTTTAAAAGTAAGTAATTTAAATTTTTCAATATAAATGAGCTGATTACGGAATAAATATTTGATAATTAGTCATTAACATTAGTCGTTCATAAAGTTAAAGGATTTTGTTTTATGTTCTAACAATGAGTCTTTTTATAAAGATATGTAGCCTGTTACCCAGGGCGTACCCTTATGTAATCTATTTATAATGAATACATATACTCTCAGTTTATTGTTTCATAAATGGTGACATTTTTAAGAACAAAATCGACATTCATATTTAGCTTTAGAAACTATATTTTTTCACTCAGAAGATAAAAAGAGCAGCTGCATCCTAATTTTTCAAGATGCAAATTATTATGAAATCATATTTTAATCTTATTTTCCAATTTTAAGGTCTGATGACTGATAGACTATATAAAACTAATAGTGCATTTTTTTTTTCCTTTTTTGGGGCCGCTTTCATGATCACATATTTTTCTAGGTTTTAATTATAAACGTTTTTTTTTTTTAAGGATTTTACATTTGTGCCATAGTATGTATATCTTATACATGTTTTTACACATATTTAAAAACAAAATTAAATGGGAATAATGTTTCAACATTTTTGGTCTCATATTGATATGTTTCCTATTTCTTTTGCGTACACGTTTTATTATTTCTTGTGTCACTTATTTTACAGTTTATACATTTGATTAGGATTTGTGTACACATTTTAAAATGTTTCATAGATTAAGGTAATTGAGAATAATAGCTTTAATATAATATATATATTTGGTAAAACAAAAATAAACTAAATTTCTAAAAAAATGTGCAATTTTAAAAATAACAATAATAATGTAAAATGTACAATTATGTTCTAAGACCAAATTTAAAACTGCTTAGTTGATCCTAACCAGGAATACCTTGTCAGTAGAAATAGTATTATTCATTAAAACAATGAAACAACAATAACATTCAACAGTTCAAAACAGTCATAATACATAGAAATTCACACACACACACATCTTGATCTGTTCCTCACTCCACCGATGACGGTTTAGGAACAAATCCAAAAGAACGTCAAAAATCCGATACATGTCAAGCCCTTCTATGAAAGAAACCAACCCTTATTGGTACATGGGACTTAAGAACCCTGAACCAATGCGGTAAACTAGCCCAACTTTTCAAAGAGTTTAACTACTACCGCATGGACATCCTTAGAACCTGTAACATGCCGTGGACATCAAGTTGTAATTCTAATATAAAGGCAAGTCAAATAAATTAAAATAAAGTATCGTGGGTGCATGGACCAAAAACTTAAGTTTGACTGACTATTGAGGCGCAAGTTACGTAAGTATTGGGCGTATTTATCTTAATATTTTTTTCTTGTTAAGCGAGACCTTTTGTAATCGGCCTTTTTCTGTCAGCATAACACGTCAACAGAACGATGTTTAAACGCTGTTTAGATATTCTGCCGTTCTAACGCTTGCTAAATGGCTACTTTTAAGAAACTTTTGAATAATGTTTTTAGTTGAAAAATATTTTAATAAAAAGGTATAGGCCTTACAACCAATCTGTTAAGAGAAAAGAAAGAAATCCCACATATAGATAAAGTTAATTTAGATTTAAGGGTCGCCACCGAAAGAAAAAATGTAATAGTAAAATTATAGTTGAATAAGACGTTAATTTAAATATGATTAAGTTTTTTTTAGTACGCCAGTTTGTAACTTCCTTTTTTTTAACATATCAGCAATTCACACCTCTGAACATACACAATTTCATAAGAGGGATGAGAAATCAAATACGCTAAATTATGTGTATTTTTAAGATTCAAGTATAAATTGTGAGTTATAGTCCCAAACTTATGTATAGTTTATATTTCCTTCTCGGAAAGTCTCTCTCTTATCTAACCAGGCCTTCTGTAACACTGCTCAACACAACACATCACACACACTGTCCGCGAAGGCTTCTCATCACATGACCATATCACGGGTCAAATTTATGTGGAAAGTTCATCGACATCGACCTTGTCCATCGACATAGCAGTTCTACTTGCCTGTGTCACATGTGTCAGATGATCATTCTGTCAACCCGAATCGCGCAATATAAGTAACATTGTCTTTCAAGCTATAAGATCTATAGGGCAGTAAATGTCTTCTGTTTATATGGCCCACGATAAACGTCATGTGCTCAGAACAATGACTAACGGCCTTTACTTTTCCGCAATAAATGTTAGGTTTGTTGGCCTCTTAAGATCCCAAAGTCTAAAATAAAATTGCAGTCTTCACCAGGATTTGATCCAGGGACCCCATAGGTTCTGTAGCCAAGCGCTTTGTCACTCAGCTACCTCTAATATTTAGATACGCTATACATAAAACGCTAGTAACTTAGAATTCGTAACAGGTTAGGATAATAATGACACATTGCATAACATTTTAATAGCCAACATCCTTGTCAAGGAAGAGCGAGAAGAAATGACGAATGTATACTTTCGATGACTCATGATGAAAGTAAGTGTTAAGAACCTCAAGAACGTGTCTACACTAGTTGACCCGCTATTTGACTAATTGCAGATGTAAACCACGTTCCTAGACGAAGTTGGCCAATATCACTATTGTAGATTTAAGTACAATTGACTGAGAACGTTGAGAAAGCAAAGAGATTCAACCCCACATTGAAAACACGGATTTTTGTGAGTACCACTGCAATAAATGACACATATCTTTTAGTTATAATGCTAACAATTTCTTTATATACAACACTAAATTATATTGGTCCTTAAAACACTATTATTTTTATTACACATATTGTTACATGACAATTTAAATAAAGTTTACCATAGTATGGAGAATGGATAAGAATAAGAACAGAAATTTTAATTGCTGTATACGCGAGTCTCTTGATTATTATTATGTTTTCTTTTTTTCTTTTTTTTTTTACATTACAAGAGTTTTTTCTTGATATAAACTGATGATTACAAGCACTCGCTAGTTGTGACATGTACAGAAAGTATTTAGACAAAGAATGAAACGACATTGTTTTCTATAGGATAGAATGAATAGGAACAACTTTAGATGGCGACCGAAACACTAATTATACTAAAATAGTTGAAACCTCAGCAACCTACTTAAGTAAACTATATTATGTTGGAATTTTATTGTGCACATGCACAATTTAAATATTTTCATCGGTATGAATATTCTTAAACATCTAGAATTCAATGTAAACATTGTACACATGAATACTTCACCTGCAACAATTAACGAAATTTTTTTCATTAAGCTTAACAAAGTTAACAAAAAAAATATGGATATCTCAAAACTAGACTATATTAAAACATATTACATTATTAATAATTGACAAAATAGTATGTTGAGCTACACAGGTATTTCAACTTTTTAAAAATGCTAAATTATTATTCAAAGTTAGTCTGATGACGTTTATGTGGATAAAAAGCTCTGACAATAGTCAAATCTAGAAATTTATGTTATTTACTTTATATATATTGGATGCGTGGTGGCTGAACGGTAAAGCACTTTGCTTTTGAACCGGAGTCCGGGGTTTCGAATTCTGGTGAAAACTGGGAATTTTTATTTCGCCTCTGAGTTCACCAAGCTCTGATGGGTATATGACATTAGTTGGAAAAAATAAAGGCGGTCGGTCGTTATGCTGGCTACATGACACCTTCATTAACCGTATGCCACAGAATCAGATGACCTTTACATCATCTGCCCTATATACTAAAAGGTCTGAAAGGGGAACTTTTTACTTTATTTACGTTGACATATGCTAGAAAGGTTAGTTCATGACGTAAACGTGTGCTCTTTAACAAATAGTTACATGTTTTTAAAAGGTAAATAAGTGTCATAGAATAGATGCTTCTAATTGTGAAAGATACAATCAATGGTGTTATATTTTTTTCAATTATTTAACAATGTTTTTTGTGCTTCAAAATTTGCTTCAAAAAGTTAAAAGATAATTAGTGCTATTAATTACCTAGGAATATAAATCATAAAACATACATTATGAAGACTACACAATATTGCTAAAAGAAAACACAAAAATGTTTTTCATTAAAACACTCGAATTTATTTGTTATTCATTACACACGAAAAAATAATTAATTTATATGACTAAAAAATCGTATCACATGAAAGACTCAGTAATAACTAATGTTTGTATTTTCCAATGATTCCTTAAAGGGACCATCATCTATTAAGAATGACCCTCAAGCTCGAAAAAAATGGTTGAAGATTGTGTCATTCAGAAATATTGAAAAGGAGGGATAATTTAAGTTTGAGATGCTGGGTTGTTCTAAGCACGATACTTATCTCTCACTCTCTTCCTATCAATAAAACTCCAAATAGAGCTATTAACATCAAGAGATTGTAATGATTTGGCTGCTTAGGTAGACACCGTTGAATGTTATCATCAACAACTTCTTAGAAATGAGACACTAGTCTCAGAGGGTTGGCACGTCTGTCGCTGGCTTGTTGTCTTTTCTGGGGACTTCTCCAGAATCTGCTTGCACGTATTTCTAAAGAGATTTGTTGGTTTGTTCACAATATAAGTGAAACGTTTTACATACATATCAATTCAACACATACAAAATAAGATAATGATTAATATTATACTTTCAGACCTTAGGATCTATTTTTTCCTTAGTAAAGTTAACGAGAATATCACGTAGCCAGATCAACGACCAACCACATTAACTTTCCAAAATATATCAGCAACGGATTACAAATTAGAGTTGGTTTGTATAAGAGGCGTCCCAAAGATTCCAAGTTTGAAAATCTTAGTCTCCATAGGCATTGGAACTCGAGACCTACAAATTCAGAAACCTAGAACTATACTACTTGGCGATCGCGCTACTGTTTAAGACATTTCCACGTATTAAATACATTATAAAATAAATGAATTGCAAGGAGAGGTTTAAAAAAATGTATATTAATTTGAAAATTAAAACAAAACAATAGTTTATTGTTAAATTGTAGTACATTATGTCAGCCCGAATAAATTAAAAGTTATTAGATAAAAGACACAAAATATTTTCAAAACCATATTTCATCTTTAGCTCAATCTTATCAGAGTTTAAATAGGCCTTGTGATGTAGTGGAATATTTTTCTTGGACGTCATTAGGAATCAGTTTGTTAATGGAAATGCATTCTTACCTGTTACGTCAAGGTCTATCAGCTCTCGTCAACCCTCTCGTGTTGCATAAGCTATTTTTTATTCTAAATAGTCTGTGTGACGTGGTGGACTTTTTTTTTTTACTTTGACTTAATTAGGAATGAATTCAGAAACTAAATGCTATAAGAAAGTGAGAAAAAAATGTTTTAATAACCCTCGTCAACTCTATCGT